GGTTTGCTGGAGAATGTGCAGGGGGGCGGGGGCGCCGGATTTGGATTCGGGCTGGTCTGCTGCTTGGCGTGATTGCTTTCGCGGGTCCCGGTGGCGTAATCCCCCCGCCGCCCCCCCCCCCCCTGCTCCCCCCCACCCCCCCCCCCTTTTCTTTTTGGGGTTTCTTTTTTTTTCTTTTCCCCCCCCCCCCCCCCCCTCCTTTCCCCTTTCCTCCCTCGACATTTTCCCTCCCTCGCACTTGGCTGTCGTTGGCTCCCCCTCCCCTCAGATGCCGCCCCTGTCCACCACACCCACGGAGGGGAGAATTCGATCCAATCGTTTTGCACGAAACCTCTTCGCTGGTACGTCCCTCCCCTGCTGGGTGTGGCCCGCCGATTGGCGGACTGCTGGCCCCTTCGGCTTGTCCGTTTGCTGATCGTCCCGCCTATCTGGAAGATTACATTGCCGGCCTTCGCCCGCTGGAGACGACCCCCGACTGGCCAGGGATAGAGGCCTGGATTGGATCTGCGGCCTTTTCCGTGACGGCGCCGCCACCGGCTGACCGGTGCTCGCGACCCCACGCCCGGGGCTCGACCCCGGCCAGCAACTCCGGCAGTGACGATGATTTCGACCCGCTGGACCTGTTTGCGGCGCTCTCGGCCCCGGCCCCGAGCCGGCGCCGCGGGACCCTCCTTGAAGAGCCTTGGGATCCTGCCGACGAGGCGGGCCCCCTGCCGGCGGATCTGGCGGCCATGGGGGACCTGTTTGCCGGAGTGCCAAAGCTAACGGCATGTGGCTCGCGTCCGGCCATTGCCACTGTGGCTGCTGGTCTGGTGCGACTCGGGGATCTGCTTCGGTGTCGCTTTGCCAACTTTCCGACTGCGCGCGGTTGGCTCGGCGCGCTGCTCTTTGGTCAGGGCGGCTCTCTGGCGGGCTGTCTCTGGGATCTGGCCTTTTCTTACTCGGATGAGGTTCGCTCTCGTGCCTCCTGTTGGGAGGTCATCCCACTGCCACTCTCCCCCCCCCCCCCCCCCCCCCCCCCCCCCCCCCCCCCCCCCCCCCCCCCCCCCCCCCCCCCCCCCCCCCCCCCCCCCCCCCCCCCCCCACCCCCCGTTCCCGTGCTCCCCCTCCTGCCCTCCCCCCTCTCTTCCCTTCCTCCCTGCTCGGCCCCGAGCTGCCCTGTACTTACCGGCTCTCTTCCCCCCCCCTCTCTCTCTCTCTCCCTCCCCGCCCCTGGGTTTGCCTCTCCCTTCTCCTCCTCCTCAACGCGCACACACCTACACAACAGGTCGGTTATCGGAAAGCTCGACCTGGCGATGATTTACATCTCGCAGGCCGGCTCCTGGGCCATCCACGGCGGCGGCGATGGCACTGCCTCCATCGAGGTTCTGCATGATGTTGGTGCCCACACCTTCAAGATTGTGGCCAAGAGCACCTCCACCCGCCAGAACATCATCGATGCCCCGATCACCAGCTCCTTCAACCTGGAGCGTGTCAGCGATGGCTGGGCCCAGTTTAACACCCCGACCGGCGCCGGCTATGGCCTGAGCTTCCGCAACAAGCAGGAGGGCGACGTCGTGGCCAATGCCATCTCCCGCGCTCTCCAGATGCTGAGTTCGTGCCCCTCCCTCCTCCTCATTCTCCCCCTCCTTTCCGTCTCTCGCCTGCCTTTCGCCGCCTGCTCCGGCGTCTGACCTTCTTCGTCTTCCCCCCTCCCGCCCCTCCCCTTGTCTGTCTGTCTGTCTGTGCAGGCTCTCCTCCCCCTCGTGCCGGGCCGCCGATGCCCCCGCCTGGTGGCGCTCGCCCGCCTCCCATGGCCCCTCCTTCGGCTCCCCCCTCGGCCCCTCGGCCCGGTGGTGGCGGCCCCCCGGCCCCCCCCTCGGCTCCTCGGCCCGGCGGCGGTGGCGGCGGCCCTCCCCCCCCTCCTCCCCCTCCCCCGCCCTCCATGCCTAGCGGCGGTGGCGGCGGTGGCGGTGGCCGCCTCATGAGTGACCCCAACATGTCGAGCATGCTGCAGGGTGTCAAGCTTCGCTCGGCCCCCAAGCCCCCTGAGCGCGACGCCCTCGGCCGGCCGGTCGGTGGCGATAACGCCCCCCCGCCCTCGAGCGGTGGTGGTGGCGGCGGCGGCGGCGGCGGCGGCTTCGGTGGCAGCAGCGGCGGCGGCGGCGGTGGCGGCGGCGGCGGCGGCTTCGGCGGCGGCGGCGGCGGCGGCGGTGACATGATGAGCGAGATGGCTGCCCGCCTCGCGCGGCGCCGCGAGGGTGCCGATAGCGCCCCGTCCGGCCCGCGCGGTGGCCCCGGCGGCCCCGGCGGTGGCACTGTTATTCGCCCCCCGGGCGCTGCGCCCTCTCCGGCGGCTCCCCCGGCCGCGGCCCCCCGCTTCGGTGGCCCCTCTGCCGGCGGCCCGACCCCCCCTAGCCGCCCGGGCTTCGGCGGTGGCGCCAGCGCCGCTTCCTCCTCCTCTTCCTCCTCCTCGAGCAGCGGTGGTTCTTCGTCCATCACCAATGCCGAGCTTCAGGCCCTCCGCGAGGAGCTCATCACCCAGTTCCGCAACGAGCTCCAGGCTGTCAAGGCTGAGATCATCGCCGCCATCCGCAACAACCGCTAGGCGCGTGCAAACGGTTGTGTGGCCGCGGCCGGCCGCGGACCCGCCTCCGCTGTGCGGGCGTTTGGGCATGTGGGCATGAATGCCACTGCTGTTCATCCCCCCCCCCCCCACCTCCCTCTCTGTCCTTTTCCATGTCTCTGCGTCCTCGTCCTGTGCGGGCCGGGGAAAAGGATGGCCTCTCTCCCCCTGGGGCAGGAAGGCCATGATGCGCGCACACACACACACACATGCACATTGTCCCCTCCTCTTGCTTCCTTCCCTCCTTCTCCCCGCCCCCCTCGTACGACACGCCGGCGGCACCGTGGCACAAGGGATGGCGATCGTCTCCT